CCCCCGTCGACGAGGTCCCTTCCCCCCCGTTTTGCTTTCCCGCTCGTCGCCGTAGAAGCCGCCCGATAAAGAGCGACTCTTATCGACGCGCCGTTATTGCGCGACTTCAATTAGATCCAGACGTGGACGCGCCGTTTAAAGAAATAATTATCCAGATAGACGACGCGTGGAGCATAGTCGTAGGCGACGATTGTAAAATCCTTGCGTCGTTTTGGTTAGCCGTCGACAGTTATCGTCCGTCAAATGTCGGCCGACGAGTCGGCTACGCTCGTGGAAATTCGAAGGAAAATTAAAGTGCAATTTCGCAATTGCTGCGAGGTGCTAATCGTTTTACTTAGCGTGCCGTGTAACAATTCATTGAATGCTTTCATTCAATTGTAACGTAGTCGTTTCACCGAAATGACACGAACGAGGACGATTTTTACAATTTATCGTATTTATTCGTGGTTACAAGATTATTCATGCAAAATAGAAATTGTTCGCATTAATTGCAAGGTACAGGAGCTGTTAGATAAATATTTATTTCCCATTTCAATTATCTTTGCGAGGTACTGGTATTTATCTTAAAATCTCCAATGTAGAATTGTTGACGATCCTAGGAGAGATATCTACTATACATAATTCAGGATGTCCCAAAAATGTCTCGCAATCTGGAAATGGGGGATTCCTGAGATTATTTGAAGTAACTTTTTCCTTAGCGAAAATGCAATCCGCGGCTTCGTTTACGAGTTATTGACGAAAAACACTGACCAATAAGAGGCGAGCTTCGCTGGCGCGAGGCGGGGCCGAGCCAGCGAGCGAGACTGGGCTTCGTGCGCTCGTTGGCTGCACCGCCTCGCGCCAGCCGAGCTGGCCTCTCATTGGTCACAGTTTTTCGTTAATAACTCGTGAACGATGCCTCGGAGGAGATTTTTGTAAAGGAAAAAATTACTTCAAACGACCCGAGGAACTCCCTCATTTCCGAATTGCGAGACATTTTTGAGACACCCTGTACTATAAGTTGCAAAAAGAACGATTCGACAGTCTCGTGTAGTCTTCGTTTTTCGTAAGTTCTATCGAACAAAGTCCGTATTGTGTCATATCTCATTCACTGCGATCGCAACTTTAATTACTCGTATCTGTATAAATAAGATAGAGTGGCTCGAACGATACGAATTAAAAGAATATTCTAATCTCGCACAGCTCTTACCTTCCGATCCATCATTGTCTAAGGAGCACTCATGAAATGCATCGACTTTCTGACTGTTTGTTCGACTGTTTCTAAGATTATTTGTCCACTGCATCGAAGTATCTTTTATCACGTTCGAGTGTTTCCTATTTTTCCAAAATCGATTATCGATCGCTTTTCTGCTATCAAAGTGTTGTATACGACAATTTGGATCGGAGTTGCTCGAGTCGACGGATGCTCGTTAAAGTTTCCGCGATATCTTTGACAGAGTCAGAGCGTGTACTAATAGGGTTACCAGCGAGATAAGTTAACGGCGGATTTAACGCGAACGAAAATAAAAACGCGCGCGCGGTTACTGCCGTTAGAAGGATTACACGGAGATAATGGACGTATTTAATCAAGTAGAGCGTGGCAATAATGTAACGTTCGCGGTCGACGCGAAAAAGAAATACGGGCGACGAGCGTGAAAGACCGACGAGAATAGATTCATCACCGTCCGGAATTCTTGCCTATACTTAATATCGAATTATTTATCCTTCGCGGATCGTAAACTCGTGAAATATTGTTCTTTCGTGTCGCGGAAAAGATTAGATCGTCAAGGTTTATTGGTTTACGTTTCTCACTTCGTTATCTGCGATTGCAACACGTTCCACGACGACGTATTCTTTCCATACGCGTTTGCATATCGTAACGTAAATATTGTACAAGTGTAAGGGTTCGGTGTTTTACATAATAATGAAAGTAGGACATCGCGCAGAATAGAGTTCGGCATTATTATCGGAAGAAATGGTCGATATATCGAACGGACGCATTCGCTGATCTCACGAATTCTTTGGATTGAACGATTTTTAGAAAAGCAGAGGGAAGAATTCTTTAGTGAAGTGTTGACATTATGTTGGACATTTTGGGTAGAAAATTACGTTCGCTTTGATATTATTATACTATTATTCTACTATATTACCATACTATTATTGTACAATATTACTGTATTATTATACTATATTACTATATTATTGCTATATTACAGTATATTAATATAGTGATATAGTACTTATTATACTGCATTACTATATTACTATACTATTATTTTACAATATTACTATATATTAATATATTATTATTGTACTATATTAATATACTATTATTGCTCTATATTACTATATTATTATAATACTATATTAATATATTATTATTGTACTATACTAATATATACTGTTATTGTGTGTGTGTACTATATTACTATATTATTCTTATACTATATTACTATACTACCATTGCACAATATTACTATATTATTATTATTATACTACATTTCTATATTACTATATTACTATACTATCATTTTACAATATTACCATATATCACTATACAATATATTTTATATTGTATAATGTATTTTACAATCGATACATATAATCTATCATCACATCTTCCATTCTCTTCTCTTCGTAACTTGCTACTTCAGGAATAAAAATACGTTCGAGTAGCCGATTCGCGAGAATTCTTCGATCGCGAAATACCGAAAAAGAAAGGGAACGTAAGAAAATCGAATTAATACGTCCGACTCTCGGGCTGGAATAGCAGCTGAATATACCGATGCCGGAGCACGAAGAAGCAAAGTTCGTTTCGTTCCCGCATCGGTTCCACTCTCGTTCGAAGCCGAGGATCGCCATTAACGCGTCTATAAAAACGCAGAAATTGTTGGGCCGGGGTTGGCCGGCCGACGCCGGCCGAGAATTCCTGGCGGGTCGGTCTATTCGTATTAGCATGTTACTTACGCGATTATAACCGTAATCAGCCGGTAATAACCCAGCGACGGTGGCTGAGCTCTCGAAACGGTTCCATGGCCCGTGTATCCGCGATTTCCTTTGCTCTCGGCGCGGCTTGGCGCGGCTCGGCTCGGCTTGGCGCGGCTCCGCCGCCGACTCGCGCCTCTTTTCCTTTTTGCTGTTCCTTTCCCTCTGTCACGGCTCGACGGGTCAACAACATTCTGTCCTTCCAACAGCGACAGGCATTGTCTCGACCGCGATTCTCGCCTCCGTTGGGATCGCGAGCGCGATCGGCCCCGCGGGTTGCGCGAACCAGCGGCCGCGTAATCGCTCGATGCTCGCACCTCGCTAATGTTCGCAGTGCCACAGCTGCGTTTACACCATCAACCCCGTTTACGGCCGTTGATGGTCAAGTGTAGTACGCCGGTGTCGATTCACCGGAGCGAGATCTCAAATAATTTCACAGGAAAACAGTGGACATATTGAAGCATAGTTGCGCGAGTAAATGCAGTAAATTCTCTCTAAAAAAAAATGGGGATCCTTCGAAAGTTAATTGGTTAGTTGCGTTAATTTTTCATTAACCCATTCACTGTTCATTACGGTGAGTTGTCAACAAATGTTCAATAAATAGGCAGCGCATAATTGATATTATTTATTCAAGATACAGTCAATTTTCCCTAATTTGCGGTCGGATTCTGCACGAACATGGACAATTCGGGACAATTGTGGCTCGTTTTTATGGTAACCGATTGTCGACAACTATGAAAACGAGACGCAATGCTCTGCAAATTCACCGATTTATAAAAAATGAGTTCCCAATATGGCAGCCAGTTCGGTTTTTTCCAGGAGATTGATTCTTTTCCCCTCTTTTGGCAAGCAAATTTAACGAAATGTTGCGGCGAATCGGGAGACTTGGTGAAAGAAAATATTGAGAAAAAGATCGTCCGAAGTGATTTAGTCGAAAAAAATCGTCCAATGTCGAACTTCCGAATATTTCGAGCGACGAAGACGACGAGCTTTGCGCCAATTAAAAGCAGAAGGTTCATTGTCTTAAATTGCGATCACCGAATTCGAAAATTCTTACAGAAGTATGACGTAAAAATCGCTTAACGTTTCATTTATACAGTGCGCGATGATGCAACATTTATCGATGTTGCAATTTCGAATTGTTGCTTGTTCTTACGTACATTCTTGCACACATCTATCATAAAAAAAATTGTATCTATCGCATTGCAAAATTCTCCTCGATGTTCTCTCGTTTCAGCGATTACAACAACGCTTTATGTTAATGCACGCCTAATCGAGAAGCGAACGACGCGTGCCAATATGTATTTGCGGAACGAAATTTTTACGTTTGAACTTTGATAGGCGGCAAATAAGATCTTGAATTAAAGAATGAAACGCAATTCGTGCGATCAGATTAGATAAGTATTATCGTTGCGTTCTTGCATCGCGTCCGAAAGATCCAGCATCGTTTAACAAAATAACGAGATGCGCACTTGGAAGATATTTTTAGAAATCTACGGAGCTAATTCGTCGGATTAATCGCGTTCGTTCAAGGATCAGTTTTTTTTCGCAAATTGAAGCAACAGGAAGTATTCTGTGCATTGGAATGCATCTTGGAATGAGGAAGATCGGACCGAGCGCGAATCGTTTTGACATCGCGGATATAGAGTTAATTTCTCGTGTTAATTATCAGCGTGCGTTTTAGATATATCGTAGATCGAGGACGAGTGTTAGATACATAGATAAGCTGCTCGTTCGCGTCTCGTCGCGACGATGAATACGTGGATCTTAAAATCAGTTTCCGTCCCAGTTCGGAAAACCGATCGCGGCGCTTCGATTTTCCGCGAAGAAAATTTGCCGATTAAACGGTAATGTTGCATCTCTTTTTTTGCATCCGACCTGAGATAACGATCGAGACGCTTCGTTGCGAGGTAAACCATCGACTAGGAACATCCTAAAATAATAAATCAATGTAACAGCCTCAAGACCGAACTTGTAAATTTACCACGTTAACTGAACAGACGATTCACAAATGTTCCATCATTCGTATGTTACAGATAACACATTTACGAAAATAAACCGTGTACCTATCGCGAAGAAACGAAATAGCTGCGCAACCAGGCAGTGATATGAAGAATACTCAAACCAACAATTATGGTATGTTTATTTATTGTGTATTTAATATTAATGTCCGGTCAAGATCTCTCGAAACCAAAAACCGCAAACGTATCGGCGATTCGGCGTTCTTTTCGCGTGAATTTTAACTTCTTTCAGCGGAAGAGTATATATTTATACCATAATTATGTTGACAGTCAGAAGTGGGGGATGCTTGAGATCATTTGAAGCAACTTTTTCCTCAGCGAAAATGCAATCCGCGGCTTCTTTTACGAGTTATTGCCGAAAAACACTGACCAATAAGAGGCCAGCACGTCTGGCGCGAGGCGGGGCCGAGCCAATGAGCGTAACTGAGCTTCGACCGCTCGTTAACTGGACCGCTCCGCGCCAGTCGAGCTCGGCTCTCATTGGTCACTGTTTTTCGTTAATAACTCGTTAACGATGCCTCGGAGAAATTTTTTGTAAAGGAAAATGTTGCTTCAAATGTCCCGAGGAATCGCTCCTTTCCAGGTGTCAGCATAATTGTGGAACAGCCTGCATGCCCTTAATTATAATAATTATATTTTCATGCGAAGGCACTATAGTTCGTTACTCCTCCCGTCATTACTTCAAGATAATTTAGTTCTTAAATATGTGAAACAAAAATCATGTCATCCAGTGCTGTGGAAGGTTTTAGCAATTTTCTTATCGCGTTACAGCGAAACACTGTTTCGAATGCCGCGTTGCAGAAGGGCCACCCGTAGTTACAATTTAATCAAAGACTTGTCGTCGAAGCTTTCTAAATTCTTTCCCGGCGCATCGGAAAATATCCTCGCCGATAAAATAATCGGAGCCGACCAGCTGGACGTCCGCGAGTCGGCAAGAAAGACGGCGATCTTTTTTCTCCCGCTTTCGCGCACCTTCGCGGCGTCCATTGTACATTCTCGGCGTGCAACAATTGCCGCGGCCGAAGTGGGTCACCTCTGCGATTTCATTAGGTCGCCGATCGGAGGCGGCCTGTCCTCGAGCCTAGAAGATTTATTTGCGTGCGGGACAACTTAATCGACGAGACAAACTCTCGCTACATTTCTCGCATGATAACGATCCAATCGCCTCGGCCGATGCACGGGAGGGGGGGAGGGGGGCGTGCGTCGCGAACAAGGGAAGCATTTGGCTTCTGGAAAAACCGGCGTCCGCCGGCCTTACAGAGAGCGTTCCAGGTCGGCGGCCGAGGTTGCGTACACACGGGTGAACGAAGGCTGGTTACCGCTGTCTCGAGGTTACCCGTAGATTTCGCGGCCGCATGAACTGTCGATCACCTTTTTTGCTCGGAACTGGTTCCCTCGTCACTTGCTATACTTAAACGTAATAAAAGATAAAACGGTTCGGCCGCATTATCGAAGAATCCTGCCCTCGATTTTCCAAGAAACGCTCGGCGGGCTGCTCCATTGGCCGCCGAGCGTCCTTCGAGACTCCTCTACAAAAAGCTAGGGACATGTTTTTTCGAGGATCCACGTTTTCATCGGCGACCTACCCTTCGCGCTCGTGGCCGTTTCAACTCCAAATCCGAGATCCGACCTGCAGCAGGGCTATGGTGCCTCGTAGGAGACCCGTCATTTCTTAAATCATAATCTTCGATCGAAAACACTTTTGAATTATTTTATTTTGTTCTATAATCTACTGGAAAAGACAGAAACAAAAATTGATAAAGCATGCAGATTCGGCGATTTAGAAAATGAGTTTCCAGTATGGCATCCAGCTCGACTTTTTCAGGAAATTGACTCTTTTCCCCTCTTTTTACACGTTGGACTTATTAGATTTATTTCTTCGACGCAAACTGAATGCAGTATACGATAGTATTTATGAAAATAATTGTACATTAGTCATTTTTACGATATTTTATTATTTTTACGATCTTTTACCATTTTCACGATATTTAACCATTTTTACCATGTTTTTTTACCGAATGCAAACAAAGTTGATAAAAATTGAACCTGATGCAACAATCTCTTGTTATGCCACTGCGAGGATTGCATCTTATAACTCCTTTTCACGATTCTTAGTGGAAATTAATTTCCACTGTCTAATCGTTCGGATTTGTCGAGCCGCAGCCAGCGTGTCGAGGGTAAAGCTGACAAAAATCAGGCGTCGCGGAATTAATATGAAATTTACACACTCGTTGCGATTATTCCAAGAACCGGAGGCCATTTGATTTGATTGCGCCTACACGGTTGTCTGCGGCAAACCGTTTTATAATCGTTGTTTTCACCGGTTTTACTTCGGACGATTCACGAATGCGAGAGATTTATCGATCTTTCGGCGTGTTTTCCGTCGTCAATCACTCACTTCCTTTCCTAAGAACGATGCAAACTGTTTTTCCTGTTGATAATAAGGCGCGAGAATTGGTCGATCGCATCCGGTAATCAATTTAATGAGAAGGAAGATCTTCAACGATTTTCGCAACGGATCGCGCGCGATCAACGTAACAGCTGTTTTTTTTATTCATACGCGTTTTTCCATTGCAATTTCAGCGATGCTGCGACGTCGGACGCCTCGTCGATTCCTCGAATTCGTAAATCTCGACTCGCATTTTCGTAAACACGTGTGCGCGTTAATCGTAAACGCCGGCGTTAGCTGCGCGAACCGCGCTGCCAATTAAACGGAAAACGTGAAAGCGCGGCGTGCAGTAATGTGACTGTACAGTAGTCTGCCGACTTTATGCATTTAAAATGTACAATATGGGCGAGCGAAGTCTCAAGGAATAGAGAAAATGAAGGAACTCGAGGGATAGTAGGATACATTATTCGCAATTTGTTGAAAGCATAAAATAGGAAAATAAATTTCTGCGCGGTTCTCGCTGTGCTTTGAAGTCGCAAACAATGTTTATTTCGCGTAAAAAAGTGACAAGCAACGAGGACATTATTCAACAAGCTTCTTCCATTTTCTGCAATTCGTTGAAATAAGCAAAAGAAGAAATATGATAAATTTTTCTTCCGTTCGTTGCAATCGATACAGAAACTTTTAACATTAACGAAAAAAGATTTCGATCGATTGGCCTAATTACAGTAATTTCTCCGTAATTCGCCTTCAGATTGCGCACAAATATGGACAATTTGAGATGAGATACGATTACTCTTTTTTATAGTTCTCTTTCTATAGTTATCGTCGTGTCATATTGTCATATAACCTTGAAAATATTAAAAATGATCGTTTAAATGATTTTTCCAACGGTCGGTTTTCGATACGAAAACTGTAAAGTTAATTTGTAATTGGCTTTAGATTGGCTGAATATCGGTTCGGTTGATTTGCTGGCCAGATATGGCTTTTCTATCATGGACAATGCGTTCCAAGGCCCCGACCTTGTGCTACACCTGCAATGTGCACTGGCAGAAATGCAAATTCTTCCTACGTAATTCTTCAGGCGTTTGCTCGAATAATAACAAGGAAGAATCACTAAACAAAACCGGCAACAACCAGAGAAAAAAAGAACGTTTGCAATGAATACCCACGTGGACGGGACCGTATTGCGTGGATACTAAACGGACTTCGAGACGAGCTTGTTGTAATATCAAACGCTGTGCTTTCATGGAGCAAGATATATTTCAACGTTAATTAATTTATCGATCCGAGGTCGATGAATATTAATTGTTTAGTATTCAGAGTTTAGTTTTTAGTATTCATAGTTTAGTATTCAGAGTTTAGTATTTAGTATTCATAGTTTAGTATTCAGAGTTTAGTGAGAGAGAAATCATTGATGCAATTAATAAAGCAACGCAATATTCAACGACACGTTTTGAACTCGCATAAATAATCGTATAACAAAAATACATATCGATACTTTATATTCGAATATTTTCACCCGTAGACCACAAGTTTACCATAAGTCTGCCATAAGTTTTATTTAATTGTTCTGCCAACCTCTTCAAATACGATTCTTTCATTTTAATCTTAATTTTAATTTTAGTCTTTAATTTTAATTTTAATTAATGGTTAAAAATAGATGAGAACTAAATAAATTGCAGAAGGCTGCAAATAATCGTGAATATATTAAAATTGAAAAAGAATTTACGTGTAAGCGACAATTAGGGTCTAATATTAAATTGCAGTCGAATAAATAATAATGATAAATAATTAAAGGAGGTGATTTAATAATTACAACTGTAGTTCGCGAATACTATTCGCCCGCGATCACTTTCAGCGTTAAAAATACGTCATGCAAATGTTACGCGAAGAGTGCGCGAATACAGCCGGATTTCGATAATCTAGATCTGTGTCATTCGGCGGGGGGAACTTTGTCCAATTTTATCCGGACAAAGTTCGTCAATGGAAAGTTCAACCGGTTCACAGTTTACACAGCGGAGAGACGGACGAACAATAAACGCGAGCCCGTGTTGACGTTAACCTCGGCCGATGTCAGGGATTTTCGTAAACTTTGGAACTTCATCGGTAACGAAATGTAGAACTTTGGAACCCCCAACGGGAACAATATTGTCGGCACGAGTACGCCGTGATGTCACAGTTTTATGTAACATACTTCAAAATATTCAGTATTACAAATCACGATCGTAAACATTAACGAATACCCAATCGATAAGTTCCCTGGACTTTAACAAACAAACATGAAAAATTTTTCGCAGTTATTCATTTTCAACGATATGATTTTGTAACGGTGTTTGTCTATTATTTGATTACGCGTTTGAACAACCATGGATTTCGACATTTTGTGCGAGATAAATATTGGAGGTGTCAATATTATCGCGAACAGTAATTAATTTATGCAATAAATTACTCGTTGCGAATATTTCTTTATTT